TTTTCCCCATTTGTGTCTATTTTATTGTATCTAGTGAAACACTGTGGTTACATCTATACCAGCTTTTTGTTGCTATGGTTACTACAGATTCTCCTGAATTAAAGCTCTAATATAATAAATGTAGTCTGTTCAGCATTTACTGAGTAATACTACTATATCATGGCAATATGGCCCTTTAATACTAAGGAGGTATATGGTAGAAACTATTTGAACACTCATCTAAATGTTATTAATGATACTTGGCAGTTTTCTCAATGCTTAATGATATTCCTCACTTCCTATTCCAGGGGAGGGGAGGGGAGGGTTCCAGGCTATGGACAAACTGCTAATTTGTTTGAAATGTGAATTATTTTTCATGGGAAAGGGAAGTGATAGGAAATGACCAAGATCATCCACTTTTTACTTGTGTATGGATCGAGTATTAATAGTAATTTCCAAGCCTCATTGATTGTACCGTGAATGGACAGACTTGCCAGTCAAGTTAATGTACCCAGTTAAGGGTCCTTCACATGGAAACAAAGTATACAGCAGTTTACAGCATACGTCTCTCTTCAAGCCAGTTCAGTGTTTTCACCTTGATAATCACTCCTGCTAGCAGTTCTTATAAAGCTCTTCTCTGCTCCCCAAATCATTGTATTTTGAAAATATGTCAAATATTTACATAGAAAGGAAATAAAGTTGTGCTTTGAAACCAGCAAAGTACTTTCCTTTGTGCAACACCTCTCTTTTCCTTCTGTGTTTATGAGTAGAGAGTTCATGGAATATTATTGCCGTGGTGAATATAATGACTTTTGTGTGTCACTTGTACCCTGTAGGGGTGAGTTTACACTTTAGGTGTGGTTATATCCTAGCAGTGTATCAAGCTCACTCAAATAATGACCTATATTTAAAAGAATGTGTCGTTTACTTATGCCATTTAACATCCATAAGTGTGCATCTTCCAATCAGTTGTATGATTGCAAATCAGAAATTTTGGTGGCAAAAATATTCTAAAACATTCTGTAGGTCAAAGAAAAATATTGATACTTCGTCTAGCATTGCTCATAAAAGTACTCATGTTCATCATTTTTGGAAACTATTAATCATGCCTTAAAATCATCTTAAGCTCCTTTGCTCAAACCAGTCATTGATCTGCAATATGACCAGCAGCTAGTAAGCCTGTGGTACCAGCAGTATAGCTTAGAGAATGGTTCTGAATTAATGCCTAAGAATGATGTCAAAAGTAAAACAGTGGTTCTATTGCTAAATATGTCAACTAGCTTACTTTTAACAACTTACTTTGAACTGCAGAGTTCTAAAGCTAAATGTCTAAAAAAAGTAACTGCAGTTTGTTCTGCTGATTTTGAAAATAGTATTAACCATGTAAGATATTTGGGTTGGAGTGAAGGTCTTATCCTGCATTAATTTTGTTAATGCACATTGTAGAAGATGTAAAGAACATCCTGACATGCATAAGAACTGCATCTCATAATTTTATTGTGTAGTGCTTTTTCTAAATATTTACATTTCTTTGGTCACCATGTTCATATATTCTGGAGAAGTAAAATTTCTTGAGTGATTACTAGGCAGACCCTAAAACTATTAAGAGAAACATAAAATGTAGTTAGCTCATGGTTTGTTAAAATCTAAGCTAACCTTAATGGTGCTGTACCCACTGTCCACAGAAAATGCCCTTAAGTAGCCCTACCTTACTTCTTAGAGCTTATTTTGCTTTTGTATTTAATAAAAACTGTCTTAAATGTTTCCTTGTGTAGTTTATGCATAATGGTTGAGTCTGTGTGTTAATTCAGTTTCAAATGCCACTAGTTTGTGTATGACCAGGACTCTAGATTCTCTCTTTGTCCCCTTCCCTCATTGTTTTGTGGGTATCACACAGGTTAGGTAGAGAAACTGCTTCTCCCTGGAATGCTGGAATGATATATTTTTTAACTTATCTGGACAATTATATTTTAGTAGTGACATCTCATGTTTCTCTGTTATGGAATAATTGATGTTTTCCCTTAGTATTAAAGTAGTTTAGTCAAGCATTTAAAAAATTAAAAAAATTTTTTGAGACAGTCTCACGGTCGTCCAGGCTGGAGTGCAGTGGTGTTATCATCACTCACTGTAGCCTTTGCCTCCTTAGGCTCAAGCGAGCCTCCCACCTCAGCCTTCCAAGTAGCTGGGACCACAGATGCACACTACCACACCCGGGTTAATTTTTGCATTGTAACAGGGTTTTGTTACATTGCCAAGGCTGGTCTCAAACTCCTTGAGGTCAAGCAGTTTGCCTGCCTCAGCCTCCCATAATGCTGGGATTCCAGGCTTGAGCCACTGCACCTGGCCTACTCAAGCATTTTAAATGTAGAGGCTTAAATAGCACTTGCTGTGAAAATTGAGAGATGCATATACTTTGAAAATTCAGTTGATTATTAAAGTATTTGATTAATCCATGCCAATATTTTCTCTCCATTTTCCTAAGTATTCAGGAATAAGCTATGTATTTATGTTGAGAGAAGGATAATATATGTGCTTCTCAACTTACAACGGAGTCATCTGCGGATAAACCCATTTTAAGTTGAAAAGGTAAGTCACAAATGCATTGAAGGCACCTAACCTACCAAGCATCATAGCTTAGTCAACCTTAGATGTACTCATAACATTTACATCACAGTAATCTAACATAAAGCCTATTTTGTAATAAAGTGTTAAATATCTCAAGAAACATTGAATACTATATTGAAAGTGAAAAACAGAATGGTTGTATGAATACTTGAACTACAGTTTCTACCAGATACATACTTCTTCCATACCATTGTAAAGTTGAGGAATCCTAAGTTGAACCATTGTAGGTTGGGGGCTATCTGTAAAAGATTTGCTAATGTAAATTTCAGTGACTGTCTAAAGTTTAATAGAAATTGTGATTTTAAAATTTTATATGGTTATAATACCAAAATCACAAAGAAGGCCAATCTATTATTCGTGTGTACTATAACTTTTGGCATTTATTATATGAGAAAAGAAATCCCTAGATTACTTCTGGGATATGTGATCCTCCTACCTTCCTTAATATTTTCATAAAATGTTAAGTTCTAGAAGCAGTATATGTATAAAAGTACAGTCAGCCCTCTGTATCTGTGGGTTCCAAATCCGCTGACTCAACTGCAGATTAAAAATATTTGAAAAATAAAAAATAATACAAATAAAATTGATACAGTATAATAACTACACCACTTACATTGCATTAGGTATTATAAGTAGAGATGATTTAAAGTATACAAATACTACACCATTTGATATCAAAGACATGAGCATCCATGGGTTTTGCTGTCGGGGGTGGGGTGGGGGCTCCTGTAATGAATCCTAAGGATACTGAGGGATGACGGTATTAACATTGATCTTATATTACGGTACATACTATTGCTCTGAAGTTCCCGAACAGTGCTGGTAATTGTTTTCCAGTATTTTGTGTTGAAATTCAAGCAGTTCATCAGCAGCAAGAAGAGTACTGTGAGACAAAGTAAGACTTTTAGTCACTGTATGATTTTTTTTTTTTTTTGAGCCGAGTCTCTGTTGCCCAGGCTGGAGTGCAGTGGCGCGATCTCGGCTCACCGCAACCTCTGCCTTTGCCTCCTGGGTTCAAGCGATTTTCCTGCTTCAGCCTCCCAAGTATCTGGGATTACAGGTGTGCACTACCATGCTCAACTAATTTTTGTACATTTAGTAGAGATGCGGTTTCATCATGTTGGCCAGGCTGGTCTCAAACTCCTGACCTCAAGCGATTCTCTCACCTTGGTCTCCCAGAGTGCTGGGATTACAGGGTGAGCCACCACGCCCGGCCAGTCATTGAATAATTATTTAAAAATGAAATTTTGATGTGGCAAAACTCTCTTTTGAAGTGCCTGTGAGTCTGCAACCTGGTGGTCATAGCCAAATACCCACTGGTTCACACTTATAATTACCAGTAGCCAAGAGAGCCATGTGACTACTGTAAGCCCTACTGAAACCACCGATTGATTGACTGTTAAAACAAGTGTGTCTGTTTGACACATTGTGTGATCCTTGTCTACAGCCCAAATGACTGTTTTGGGTAACTCAAAGTTGAATTTAAAAGTGAAAAAAATTAGGTTTGATAGCATAGGGGGAAGTGAAGGAGTAAGAGAGTTGGAAATTGTAAATCTGTAGCTAAGTACTTTATGAAATAAATGTGAAAGGATTAAGCTCATTCCGTGTAGTTCTAGGGTGGAAAAAAAAGTGGAGCAGCTGTCTGAACTAGTGAATTCTTCATCTCTGAAAATGTTCCAGCAGATAGTGGATACACACCCTTGGGGCTGATCCAGCACTGGGAGGGGTGACTGGAAGACTCACAGGATCCTTTTCAATTCTGTAGATCTATGAAGTAAAAAGCGGAAGCAGTTTTGGGAGGAATAGAGGGGGAGGGGACATTATTTAAAAGTAAGTTTGGGCACTCATACTAATTGTCATACTTACTGCTTTGTCATATGCTACCCAGTGGTTACAAACAGTAAATGAAGTACAAGTGCAGTACTAAATATTAAAAAGATGTAGTCAAATATTTTTCCATATGCTTGTTTTCAGCATTACCTCCAGGTAAAATATACCAGAGCAACCAGTTCAAAAAGGCAAATTTCATACCAATTTTCCTATCCCTCTGCTATAAGAAATGAAAGAGACACAATGAGTTTTGTCAATAAAAGCTTTAGGAATATCTGCACATGTACATTTACATTCAAGTTGATGACACTAGCAGTTTCATTTCAATATAAATTATGCTAGAGAACTCTGACATTTCAGACATGGTCATATATGTGCTATTTGAAATTCTTCATCTTGATACCGATCTTGATCGTGAATCTCTTGATGATAGATATGCAGCTAATTTGTCCCGAAACTCATGAAGATAATTGTATTGCTGAAAAAAATAAAGATACATTGGAATACACTGTAGAAAACTAGTTATCAGTGTGGGCACAACACTAGCAGGTATCAGGAATAAAAAAAATACTTGCTAAGCACAATTCTACATGTTTTTGGGTAAGGAGGCATTTGCAGCATAGGGAAGTTTTATCTTTTAGTAAAGCCATATAGTAGTGTGAAAAACTTGCTCTAAAAGTCTAGAAAAATCAGAAGGTGAAATAAATACAGACGGATGTGTTATAAGTCTAAAATGCTTTCTCTCTTTACTTACAGGACCAAATAAGATTTAAAAAGCACATAATGGCATTATATTTGCTAATGTTTTTCCCCCCTGCTAAGTAAGAAGGACAGAGCACTTTCTGTAGCAAGTAACTGGTATATTTAAGAGAATACATTACTTCATTTATAGAAGCCCTAGTCATCTGCTTTTTGTGATGACATAATCCACTAGGAATAATTTTCATAGACAATATTTTTTAAAAACAAATTGTATCACTAATCTCAGCAGATACGCAAAATAAAAGCCTTGAATAATTTATCCGGAGTTTTAATCGCTTCCCAGAAGATATTTTTACTCTGCCAATCATTTCATTTCATACTCTTATTAGAAGTGGAAACTGCATTGCTAACATTAGCAAGCCTGTTTGCCACAGAATGCTGATGTGATAAACTGACAGTCTGTAGTAATGTGGGCTTAATTTTCTGCAATATTAAAGATATAAAACATGCATGTTCATATTTACATCTGACCATGGCCATGTATTTTGTTTTCAAGAGAAGAGAGGCCGGGCGCAGTGGCTCAAGCCTGTAATCCCAGCACTTTGGGAGGCCGAGGCGGGTGGATCACAAGGTCAAGAGATCGAGACCATCCTGGTCAACATG